AATGATGTGTCTTAAATAGGTGTGCCTAAAGCTTTTCACGTTGATCAGCCTCGATTGTTTGAAATCGACTCATATAATTGCTTCTAAATAAAGGAATTATGAGCATAGCAAAGACAGTTAATTTCTATCCTCCAAAGGCGATGCAAAGGCCGTGCCTGTCTTTGATTAGTTTCATTAATAAGCTGCTTGCGATTTACCGCCTTTCATTTTAGATAAATGGAACGGTCCCAACAAACGCTCTCCTTTTAAGAGCTATTATTTGTTACAGCTCCCAAAGGCGTTTATCATGTTACTAGCTCGTAATAAGACATGAAAGCTTAGCTTCACCGTCCATTGCCGCGCTCAAGCGCAACAGAGCAAGGTACTGTCCTACGCTTACAGAGGAAACAAAGATATAAAAGAATTAAGTGTTCGATATCAATCAATACCATTTTTAAAGCTAAAATGCCTAAAAAATTTGCGCAACAACATCAGCGGAAACAGAGGTCATGTGGCAAGGTGCCATGACGTGGCGCACAGGCCGGCAGTGACCTTGACAAAAGTCGGCCTCCGATCGGGTGAATTCATGCGGCAAAGTTCTAAAGTAGAGATAAACGAGATAAATTGTCACATTTAACCAGTGCGGCGAGCATGAACCAACTGCAGAGGACTTAAAAATAATCCCATAACCTCAAGCCAGTCGTGAATATGAGGCCATCACAAACGCACACCCTTCCGCCAGTCTACGTTTTACATCTTCTCGTTGGATTTCAGCCGCCATCTTTGTAGCTATCACAGCAGTCAGCAGCGCCACGTCTCATCCCCTCCTAGAGAACTGGGCACTCTCTGCCACATTTTGTCACAGTATCCGCCTCGATTCCCCGCACCCACCCCCCCCTCTGAATCCCCAATCGTGACTCCCAACAGAGGGGGCAGCCAGTTACCAACCAGCGACTTCGACCCATTCGACCAATAAGGAAAACTCGCGGCAGAAGTCCAATGGGCTTCGTCCATCTGGGGCATCACTCTTCCGCAGTCGCTGTTTTGTCCAGAGAGGTTTTACTTACACCCATCGGCCTGGTATGCGGTCGGAAAATGGTTGTACGAACAGTATTTCATCAGAGGCACTTTCTTCAGCCTCTGCCAATGGGAGAATGGGTGGTGTCTTTATATTCCAAATATAGATAAAATATAAATATAAGTATATTTCATGGCATGCCAACCATGAACCAGATCATGCGTTTCTGTTGTGGTCGCTGAACTCAGCTCTCTGCGACTTTGTGACATTTCGTGGCATTCATAAGTCACTATGCATTTATCAGCACCTTTCAGCGCAAGTCCCATAGCCTTGACATTCTCCCAAAATTAGCCCATATCTCCCCCGTCCCCCGGGCCCCGTTTTCCTCTGCCTCTCTCTGCCCCCTGAGTAGCCGGGTCGTGACCCAGTCTTCCCCGGTGGCGGCGCCACGCCGGTCGATTCGAGACTCACCATCAGTCAATGGGAGGCCGGGCGACGCCACTTTGCCGCGCCGCAATCGGCACGGGTGCGCCGCACTTCGCCGCGCCTATTATCCTAATGCGCCGCGGTTGTCGTCAGCGCGGCGCCTCCCAGTCGGCGCTGACAGCGCTGACTGCTGACCGCTGCGGATCAGAGGTGACCACTGACCGCTGACTGGCTCAGGCCGCGCCGCATTTGCCGCGACAGACTTCAGAGGAGCTCTGGCTGTGGTCACCGCCCCTGTCTTTGACCGGGCGTCAGAGCCGCGGGCCGAAATTGGAGCCCGGTTTTTAACGCTGCGGTCTTCAGCAGCCCCGTCGACAAATGGTTCCGATTTGGTAACGGCACTCATTTCTGGACAGGAAAGTCGATGGTTTATCATTGTCAGCGCCAGTCCGAGTACCATTCTTTATCGGAGTAAATGTGAATGTCGGGGTTAGGTTCACTTACCGTGTTTCTAAGGCGGGATAAAATGCACTGCAACGGATATTTCACCATGTCAGTTTTATTTATACGTGAGGCATTGAAATGGTTGAATCAGGGTTGAAGAGAGAGATAGAGAGAGAGAGAGAGAGAGAGAGAGAGAGAGAGAGAGAGAGAGAGAGAGAGAGAGAGAGAGAGAGAGAGAGAGAGAGATAGAGAGAGAGAGAGTGAGAGAGAGAAAGAGAGAGAGAGAGTGAGAGAGAAAGAGGAGAGAGGAGGGAGGGGAGGGAGAGAGAGGATGAGAGGAAGAGGGATAGATGTTCCATCAGTCTTTGTTGATCAGTGATCAGTGATCACTACCGCACAGATCAATGGCTGTCGTTTCTGCTAACCGTTATCGGTAATTGCTCGATCCCATCAGTAGCCCACATTCCAGACGATTCCTTTTCTTCCTCCGACCGAAGCTCGCATGCTTCCTCTCCCCGAAGGAGCCGTCATCAACAATCGCTAGTCATATAAGATTATTTTCAACCGAGTGATCACATGATGTAACCAGAGCGAGCCAGGAGCAGGGGTCAGAGCTGCACTGGAAGTTAAACTAGGCAACGGGGATCAGCTAAGCCGAGAGCAAATCTAGTCAGCGGAGATCAGCTCCGCCGGGAGTGAAGCTAGGCAGCGGGGTCAGCTCTACCGGGAGCGGAGCCTGGTAGCGGAGCCCATCTCGGAGCCCAGCAGCGGATCCGAAGTGGGGGAGCGGAGGAACCAGCGGCGGAGCGGAGACACCAGCCATGTATGTAGAGGATCCACCAGCGTTAGCCGGGCCGGGGAGAGCATACCCCAGCTGCGGCCGGGCCGGGCAGCACAGACGCCCGCCAGCTCGGCCGGGCCGCCGGGGAGAGCATACCCCAGCGGCGGCCGGGCCGGGCAGCACAGACAGCAGCCAGCTCGGCCGGCCGGGCCGGGGAGCGGAGGAGCAGCAGCGGCGGCCGTCAGTTTTTGCTGCCGCCGGTGCCGGTGGCCGCGTCGTCAATCGGTCATCGTTGGCTGCGGCCGCCTCTTTCTGGCAGTGAGCGATGCTGACAGAATGACATCCGGACGGCAATTTCCCGGTCTGATTACGTATACAAGTCACAGACACTGGCTTCGAGGTAAAAGCAGCTGCTGTGGGACGTCGGTCGTTGCTGCTGACAACCGTCTTTAATATCGCGCGACGCCGCCTTCCGATTCTGTGAGATATGGTGATATCGCATCCTGTTCAAGTTCACTCTGTACCCGTTAGCATCTTGCATCCGCACGGTGAATCCGCTGTTGTTACCACTCGTCCCACTCGGCTGGCCCCCTCTGTGCCTCTCCCGCTCAGATTCCCCGTGTTCCTCTATTGACGCTGCCGCTGTCGACACAGGCCGGCGCATCCCGGCCGTCGACAGGCGGCGAGCGCGGCGCAGTAAATACATTCCCGACGCGTGTGCGGGGCGCTCAGTCTCCGACAATACCTGACTGATCAGCCGACGGCCGAGACGTTTTGGACGCGCGAGCGGGGGGCCGAGGCAGGCTCGGAGCAGCCGCAGCCGTGACCCCAGCGCCGTGCCGCGGGCGCTGGGTGAACTATCTCCCACCCGGCGCATCCCGTTAGGAGAGCCATGTCCGAGACTGAAGGGCTGTTTCGAGCCGAGTGGCGTTTTTCCCGCCATGGTGCGAGGCCGCAGCTCGGACGTTGGACGAGCGCGTCCGGCGTGCGGACAACAAATGATGGCTGATCAGCCGGCTCGCGGACTATGGTCGTCATTTGTCGTGGGCGCCGGGACTGGCATCGACACGCGGCCCGGCCGGTAATGGTTCGGAGCCGCCCGGTGCCTCGCAGAACGACCGCAGCGCCGACAACCCGTCCCCTCCGGCAGCAAGCTGGGTCCGGAGACAGAAAGGGAGCGTTTGGCTGTGCGTTACAGACGTTTTTATCCGTATTTGAAGGATTTGTGCGTGCTGCTTAGAAATCAATAAGCACTAAGCAGGAATGATAAAATAAACAACAATGACTTGTTTAACCCTAGAACGCCTAGGGGGGTTGTATCAACCCCCCCCCCCCTGAGGTTTTTTCGAAGTGCACGCTAAACGGCTTGTCGCAGCGGGCTGAAATTTTCAATACCCTCTGGGGCAACCTTTGCGCATCTTTTGCCGAAAAAAAATTGATCGGGTCATGTCAGGTCACGGAGTTATGACGTCATAAGAGGTACAGCCTCCGGCCGACAGTTACCAAACGTGTGCGCCGAATCCCTAGGTTTTCTGCCGGTGATACCCACATTGTTTGATGGATCATGATGAAACTTCCCATGCATGTTGGGGCAAGCATTGGCTATCGTGTGGTGCAAGAAAATTGACCGGGTCAGGTCAGGTCACGGAGCTATGACGTCACAAGAGGAACAGCGTCAGGTACTATTTTTGAAAAGCGCCCGAACCACTATTTTGCTAATTCTTGTCACCTCAATGGGAATATGCAGCAATATTAGCTTCTATAGGGAGCAAATGGACCTCCCAAATCCAAAAATACAATCAGATTTCAAAAATTTAAATTCTGATTTTTCGAATTTCTGCCGCCGACTGTGACCTTGCCGACTTCCGGCGCTCCCAACGCGCCATTTTTAGAGCTAGGGAAACGAAATACATACCAAACGATAGAGAATTGATCAAGGAACACGATAGTGAAGGTTTCAAGTCGATATCTCCCACCGTTTTGCCGCAATCGCCGCGGAAAGTTGAAAAAAAAGTCTATTTTTCCGAAAATTTGACCTTTGACCGCTCAAAAGTAGGTCAAATGTTGACCTAGGACCAAAAAATATACCACCAATCGCGAGATCTCGTTGAGAGCAATCCGTTGGTTTTTTCCGCTAAGCTCTACGACCTTCCGTTTCGAAACGCCAGGGGGGGTCGTAACAACCCCCCCCCCCCTGGTCGTTCGTGTTATGAGAAATGGCCTGGTCGTGCGAGGGTTAATTGAAGGATGGCAGTGAAAATGAAGGTGATTGAAAAGTAAAGATTGAGTGGTGCTAATGTACCTAAATGAAAGGCGAAAGCCAGTAGAGACACGGCTGTAACAAAAACTTACTTGGCGTGATGAAATTGCCGAAACAGACCCTCCGAAACGGGAAGAACGTCTTCAGGTAGTTCTCCAGCATATGTACACCTCTTGCTGGTTGATTGATAACGAATCGCTAGAAACTATCCATCTTAACCTAACGAAATGTATCTCAATCTTGCCACTGTTGAGGCAGCATATCTCTGTTTACATGCGCAATGCACAACTGCACATTTTGGACAATCATGTCAATCCCAATCGTGTCATCAGCGATCTCCTGATGTCTCCACACTCACTGCAAACAAACCGCATCACTCAATGTCACTGACGTTTTGATCACACTCTCTCTCCGGTCGGTAAGCTCGGAGCACCTCCGTCCCTCTACACCTCCGTCCCTCTGCCTCACATCGCACGAGTGGCGGCCGCTGGCAGTCTGCCAGCGGCCCAGGGCTAATACCGACGTGACCTTGAGGTGCGGTGACCGCAAGGGCGGATTCGGGTGCTCGCTGGGGGGGGGGGGCTTAGAAGGTAGTTCTTCATAGTATTTGATATAGAAACACAGACAAAATAGATGAATATAGGAAGGAAGGCTCTGGTAGAGCTGATGGGATCAATAGGCCTTACCTTGTGCACAATCAAAGTAAATCATTTAACTTATCAGTGGTTTATTACTGCGCGTAAAGATTATATTTCTGGTTATATTCCTTATTTTCAGATGAGTCGATGAGTCGATGACATAACGCAGTGTTGAGTGTTCCCTGGGAAAACGTTTTCGTTTTACACTTCACTAATAATAGGTAATGTCTTTTCTCATGACATTTAGAATAAAATGGAACACATCACATCATCATAATGATATCAAAGGCATCATAATAAAATGGATTCGCGGCGTCTTCGAAGCCTCGTAACTGTTCGAGCTCCTATTGTCAAAACACTTGTCACGTTTCAGCGAAACACATAAGTAAAAATTAAGGTCATTTGAAACACAATTGTCAATCCGAGACTCCAACAGTAGCGTCCTATGGGTGGCTGGAGTCTTTGGAAACTTTGCGCTGAAAGCAGGCTTTGACAAGAGCTTAGTTCAAGTTTGGACTAAGCTGCGATGAATATTTATGCTGCTTTATATTTATTCAGGACTGATAACTCAAAATATAAGTGGAAAGTGTATCACTTAATTTGCAATTGATGAAGATATTCTCGGTCCACTACCGTAGAGTTTATTTAGTACGTAAAATAGCACTTTACATGGCAACGAAAAGCGCGGATATTTAAAAACACCAACAGAATACGAGTCGCCTCAAGGGCAGCAATAAGGACGGGCTAATGTCACAACATTTCGCCGTACAGCATGAGGACATGATCATTGATCAGTCGCATAGCTGATGCAAGTAACTATGTTACAGGCAGCCCGCGGAGCAGATGTTTGATGCTGAACTTAACGGAGGTGTGGGAGGGCTGTGAGATCCGTGAGGCTATTTCAAGAGCTAATGCAGGCTTGCTTTTGGAGCCGATCGCTTTTGTATGACACTGAGCGGAATAACGCCACATCCGGGGCTCTGCAATAAAAATCAATATTATTTTGTGCATATTATGGCAGGGTGAAGTCAAAACCTGGGACACAAAAGCAGAATCCTTGTGCAATAGCTGTAAGACATTTCAAACAAATACTGTCGAAAATATAACTGCATCGCGTATCACTACTAATAGGCACTTCAGTTGCCGAAATGGCTTTCCCATTTTTTTTTTATCATTTGATTTATTAACTTCCCAACCACCTTGTCACTGTCAGATGGTTTCACCTTTACTGCCCCAGCTGCACCAGCCGCTGAAACCTCCTTGTTCTGACACCGAGCATCATCAAGAACATTCTCTCGACGCCCCTCCCCTCCCCCTGTACGAGCTCCCCCCCCCCCCTCTCTCCGTGCAGCTCTGAACTGCCGTGTCCAGCCGGTTCGCTCAGACGGCACCAAATTAGCCGGCTCGGCCGCCGCCGTCAGCCTGTAACTGGTCAGACTGAGTCCGGAGAAACAGGCCTAGACAGACGCGTGTGTGTCGTGGCAGGAACAGACTGGACTCTAATTTTCCGTGCCGATGGCCTGGGTAGATGTGTTAACAGCTAACCGTTATGGGATAAAGTGGTGATGGAAGCAGGGGTTCTGTGTCAGTTACCGTCAGTAACTAAGGTTTAGATGTGCCCGTGTCAAGCGTGCATTTTTTAGTAAGCTTCAGCAGTATCAGCATTCATAAGTTTGGCTAGCTAGCAACATCATTAGCTTGAAAAACGGTGAAATGATAAGCTGGGAATATATGTATGACGCTTGGACCGCGGAAGACCAAGAAATCAATACGGTAGTTACAGAATCGGGACCGGTAACTGGGATACAACTTTGAAAAAATTGCTTTCGTGACCTGAGGAACACCAGCTGTGTTTATTTGTAACAGCGCTGCCTGGGATGCATTACATTCGGGTCACCCATTACAATTATTGCGATAGTTTGTTAAGTGCTGCTAGAGCCTGATGCAGTAAACAAACTATTTCCCCGATATTTTGTTCCCTCACTTTCGAACTTCTTCGAGTTTGAGTTACGAAATGTCGGCGCTATTGTGCCTAGCTCTACGGCCGCCTCGCTGTCTCGGCCTACGACTAGTGCGGCACAGCATACCTGCAGGCGCGCGACGCCTCTGCCATCTAGGGGCGGAACGTTAAGCTCGTGTGTTACGGGGCGATCAACTACCGGTACATACGCACGAACTAACGTCAGCAGGAAAATTGGTTCAGAATTCAGAGCAGCAGGAACTAACTATTCGGCTGGAGTTATTGGTGACGGGGCCGGGAAGAGCGAGCGCAAAGCAAAAGGATGTCAGATGTATGGAGAAGATGGACGATGGATTAATTTGAATTGAATACACAATACAATAAATGATAAATACACAATACAATGCTAAGTAAATACACAATACAATACCATACAATGTGAGAAGATGGACAATTGTCATTTAACTTTACTGTCATCAGTTCTGTTATAAAAACGCCACACATAATTACCTGCAGTCTGGTCATCAATTTGTTCCATCCACGTTTTCTGCTGATGTAAAAAGATGAGGTTTTTGCACAGATATCATGAGGAAAGATATTTATCCAGCAGTCTAGTCTAGCTGACCATTTGCAGTGTCAGCAGTCAGCACGAGGTACCGTCCCATCCTTATTCAGCACCATTACCGATCATTTATAGCCCGCAAATCTGTCTCCATGGCTCCCAACCAATTCAGCTATCAATCCGCCTTCTCTCACCCCCATCCACAACTCCCCTCCCTCCCCCTCCCTGTCCACCCCCCCCCCCCCGCCACCGACCCCCGGGTCACGGGTCGTCTGGCGCGGCTGTAACACGGCCATCACACGGCCAGCTGGAGGGGAGCACGCTTTATTGGCAGTCCGCCTGACCAGACGCCATGAAATTGTGAATCTCGGACGGACGATCAATGACCCGCTCTGAGACGGTGGTGCCAGCGCCGACCGGCCGAGCGGGGGACACTGACGGACACCGGCCGGCCCTGGGGAGTGGGAACTGGGAACCCTTGTCGGGGTACCGGCCGGCCGGGGCAGCCGCGGCTGGGAGTTCGGGGAGCCAATGGGGGATTCCTGGGGTGCCAAGGAGAAGGAACAGGATGAAGTGCGAATGAGTCTATTTAACAGCCAGTTAATTGATAATCAAACACTTCAGATGGATAGGTTGACGGCTAAAAGTGATCTTTAAAAAAAAAAACGGAATATAAATTTAGTATCGGTTGAAAATACCTATGAAAAACGTCTTTACCATGGTTCATTTGCCAATGGTAGTGCTCAGTTAGTGAAGAGAACAAACCTCTTCACATACAAAGATTTAAATATCGATAAAAATAAGCATGTAAAATGTTCTTTCTTACAAAACTTAGTTGATTCTACCCTTTCCGTTCCTCCTTTCTTATTACTCCTTCTTTTTCCACCGTCCCGCTGGCCAGCCGGGCCCGGTTTCTGACCAATCACCGCAGCATCCGTACGATACGGTGCCGCTGTGTTTTCCTCACAAATGGTCCGTCTGATTAGCACCGGCACTCGATCACCGGGCGCCGAGTGGCGCTCTGTTGACCCGAGTGGCCCCTGTTGACCGTGTCCACCGACCCCGTCCGCCGCTCTCTGCCTCCGTCAACACAATCACAGCCGCAAACAGAACCGGTAGCGGCCACTTCCGAAAGGTGAAGACGTGGAAGAGAGAGAGATGACGTCGGTGTCATTGAGAGGGAAGGGCTGATAGTGTTGATCTCATCCAGAGAGAAGCAAGGCTGATACCCGCCAGGATAATCCCTGTTGGTGCGTGAATGACGCTTTGACTATGCTTCAAATGGAGCCGGGGATTGGCATGATGGGTATTCTCAACCACCACCTCAGCTGAGTGAAGTGTCCACCTGTGAGAACCCCTCACGAAGAGAGCGGCTGGGCGGCCCCGGATTTCTACGGACCAGTCCCGTGAGGCCTGACATCGGTGTTGTAATGCATAGCCTGCAGCCCCAGGGACAGGCTCGTCTGCCCAACGTCTGAGATACATCGGCGGTAGCTGGAAATCCGCCGGCGACCCACTGTTTGGATGGGTAGACGCGATGTCACATGAGGTTATTTTTGTCTTGGAGGTACGCTGTTGACACGTTTGTCCCCCAGCTGGCAAATAAAATTCGATCATTTTTAGAAGATGACATTAAATCTAAAACAGTCTAAGGACTAGTAAATGCCGCTAAGAGAAAAATGACGCTTTTAAAATGGCTCATTGTATCTTTTACATAATCATCAGTGTATTTTTATTAATGGTTGACTTGTTATGAGCACAAAACATTTAAAACTTCCACAAAGCTTGAATATTAATTGAACACCATCCGAACATTTCCCATTAACTCTGAACTAAAGACTGCAATTATCAAGACTAGAACACGTCAAGTGCCTAACTTCCATGCCACATACCGTTCATTGAAAATGTTTTATTTATCTTTTTAATATTGGCTCAACAATTATTGATCGAAGCCAATAGGAACATTGGATAACGTCATTTGAGAACAAATTAGCAATATCGTCATCGTGGCAAACACAGAACACTCCCTCCCTCCCTCAAAGAACCAGAGTCAGGTCCTGTAACAAAGTTCCAGTTGTTCTGACTTTGTTACGACAGGGGACGCAACCAGCCATCTCCCCGCTGCCGTTGTTATAACTCTCGGAACGGCCGGCCCAACTAATCGTCTGCGTTTCCAGCACATTGAGACATCAAAGGACCCGTCAGAGACAATGGATCGTCACATGGGGTGACGAACGGGTCCCCGAGGATAGCAGCAGTCCCGGTCGGTATAAATGACAGCTCTCTCAGAGACGGGGCAGGGCTGGGACGACGGTCAGCCTGCTGACGATTCTTACCCTGTGACTGTCGTATCCCCTGACCTTCTCCTGTGACCACTGTGACACTCTCCGACACTAATCTCTCCCTAGTGACCTTGACCTGGACAGTCATCCCAGTGACTGTCTGACCCTTGACCTCACGGATTACCCGCCGCTCAAGTCCCATCATTTCGCTCTCTGGATACACGGACGTTATAACACGGCGGTGACCTGCTGAGCACCTGTAGCCTTTGACCTTTGACCTTTCTGAGTGGCCGCTGTCCGTCGGCTGCGGTGGCAGTCAGCACCGCAGAGGTGATCGAGGAGGACAGAACGGGTCGGCTCGTCCGCACCCGGCGACCGCGACGGAGAATGTGATGAATTGTCGGACCCGACTCAACAATGTGACTTCTGAAAAATGGTCACAGGTGGAAGCAGGCGTTCTGTACTATCTGAGGCTAAGATAAAAACAAGGAGTTGACAGTTGAAACATGAACAACAAAGGTATCACATGATTATGCCAATAGTTGACTGCGCTCTTCCTTCCCCTCCCTCCCTCCCTCTCTCTCTCTCTCTCTCTCTCTCTCTCTCTCTCTCTCTCTCTCTCTCTCTCTCTCTCTCTCTCTCTCTCTCTCTCTCTCTCTCTCTCTCTCTCTCTCTCTCTCTCTCTCTCTCCCTTTTTTCATCGATATTGAACTGCTTCAGAAATATGATGTTTCTTCCCCTAGTGAAATCTTATGTTTATTGTAATGAGAGCATGACACATACTCACTACTCGTGCCCATACACCCGTATTTGTCAGAGTCACAAAATCTCACGCTAAAGTGCTTCAGAGCCCGTGTGTGGTTAAAGTGAGTCTGTCGCTGCTGCTGACAGCCTTCAGACGTGTTGGGCGGCACAGCCTATTCGTCAGCCGGTCAGATCAGTGAGCAATGTCGTCTGTTATTACAAGTTCTCAAGTGTTTGCAATTGTCAGCTACCTCCCGCCAGTTCGTAATTGTCTGTTTTAGGTAAGTTGTCTTCACATTTATTTTTAGGACGGAAAACAAAGCATAGGGCAACACCTAAGGGAAAGGTTCACAGGGTCCTGCGATGTTGCATTCAAGACGTTGCTATTACAAAATGCGACTCGACAGAATTTATCCGATGCGTGCTCCACGGTAAATATGGATATCAAACCATGCAGAAACAAATGGGGCTTTGCAGCGCTGGCAGTTCTGGTTTACTTTGCAAAGTTGGTCGTAAATATGCTCAAGATTAGGCAGAACCTGTTGCTGTTCAGCAGAAATATGCAAAACATCATGGTATGTCCACAGCAGCTTTTCGGTGCTGCACTAAATCGTGCATCGGATAGGACTTTGGGTATCCTAGTTAAAAATGTTTTCCAAGACCTCAGACGAAACTCCTTCAAGTTCAACCTTTCAATGGCCCAAGAGCTCACTGAGTAATGGCAACTATGTAGTGGTAATGCAGCCAAGAACGTCATTGGGAGCGTCGCAAACGTATTAATTGGTGAGCGGGATACCGGTTGTGGGACATCAATTACCTACCGACGTGGGATAATTGAATCGTTATTGTGATCCTCGGCTGATCTGCTGTTTTGCTTCACAACAGCTTGGCGGTAAACACTTCTTTTTTTCATAAATGATTGTAAAAGAAATGAGGAACTTCGAACGAGTTGAAGGCTGCATAGATTTATCCGAAGAGCATCAACAGCAAAACACAAAATCGTACGTCAACAAGCGTCGCATTCTGGACTTGTATATTTTCCTGTCACACGGTCTGGAATGCTGAACTAATGCACACCCGTAGCTATCCTAACTAATTGAGCAACGCCAGGGGAACGGACACCCGCTACACGCGGACCGCTCCGCTTTGAACTACGTTTATGGGTCCAGGCTATCGCCATGCGCGCTTATCAAGGAACATGTCACTCGGTCTGCAACGGCGCGCCTACCGCGTCTCACGGCCACGGGTAACCATGGTAACGCCGCGCTGGTAACATTGAACACGGGTGAGGTGCAATAAGGCACATTGCAGCTGAGCCCGGCGCTGGCATATTGTTACCCCTCAGTCAAGTCGCCTAAATCTACATACTAAATGTCTATCAAAAACGTACCAGTGTTATTGTTCTGTTACGCTTTGTCGATTATACGCTGTTGACACCAAAGTCTTGTGGCTCCTGGAGGCTTAGTTGTATATAACGAATGCGTTGCTGATATTAAATCCTTGTTACTTTAGATATCCGAGGCAAGCAGTCACATACGGCAGCTCATTCTCGTGACGATCTTTTTAGCCAGACATGTATCTGTAGAAAATCGTCTAGATATCGTAGGCAAGTGAGCTTAATCACACATATTTTGCGAAAGTACCACGGTATTTGGCTCTCAAATACAGCCCTAGTCAAATACAATCGTTATCCCCTCTCCTCAACGTGTGCTGTTGGTTACATCAAAATGGCCATTAGGGCACCGATCGCCATTGGCTAGAATACTCCAAACAATTCATGACTGAAGCTCAATATGTTTCACAAACTCCCTCAAGCACTAATAACGAATCGAACTGTTCGTTCAGATTCAATGAGCAATGTTCCAGCAACACCCCTCTCGACGTTCACTCCACGCTTCGGCACTCATTGCTCCTCAAACAACCAGTGTTCCTTCTCCAAACTAAAGCTTCTTCTGGCTGCCACTAGGGGCGCTAGCGGCGCCGCGCTCCCTCAGGGCCGCCTTGCGCACTCACACCACACACTATCACCGACTGCTGGCGCGCCGCTCGCGCTGCTATCACAAGCTGAGGTAGGTTTTCTCCTCGGCCGTACCATCGCCCTGTAGCGCCGCGGCGTCCATCAGAAGCTGCAGCCCGTCGAAGCTGTCCCTCCGGCCGAGCTGCGGCAGCTGCGGCGGCTGCGGCAGCTGCGGCGGCTGCGACAGCTGCTGCGGCGGCTGCGACAGCTGCAGAGGCGGCGGGGTCGGCGGCGGTGTCACCTGAGCGGCCGGAAACTGCAGCGGGTCCATGTATCCAGAGTACGGCGGGTACGACACGGAGGGGTACGGCGCCGGTAGAGCGCACGACTCGGCCGCCGCCGCCGCTGCCGCCGCCTGGTACGCGCTGAATGACGGTAGAGGCATCGACGACATTGATGACGACATTGAGGACGCCATTGAAGATGACATCGACGATGTCATTGATGACATTGACAACGCCATCGTTGACGGCATGGATGACGGCATGGACGACGTAATCGACGAGCAGACCAGAGGTGGCGGCGGCAGCGGCGCTGGGGGCGGCACGGGCGGCGCCGGCGGGTCCTGGGCGCCCGAGATCTGAGAGATGGGCGGCAGGAACCGGTGGCCGGGCGCCGGCTCCGTCCAGCCCCGGCTCCAGGTGCCGGTCGAGGGAGCCGACTCGGCCGGCGGCGCCTCCGGAGGGGACGGCTCCGGCTCCTTGGGCCGCCTGCTCTTGCGGTTGATGGTGAAGCGGTCCGGGTCGTTACCCTCCTGTCGTATCAGCTCAGGGAGGATCCGGCGACGGGCGTTGATGAACCAGTTGCACACCTGGAGAGAGGGGGCGAGGGGGAGTTAGATTTGCTGTCAGAAGGACGGGAGTAAGATTCAAGAAGCACGACAGGCGGATTTCAGCCGCCGTCATACTCGGATCAGGTGGAACCCAGCTTCATAGTCGCAAGCCGAGTGGGAGGTCTAAGAAAGTCAGGGTTTCGTCCACATGGGAAGGGACTGAAGGGTCAGCATAACATATAGTATTAAAAAGGTTTTAGCAAGCCTTCGGTAACTTTCGATGGGATTAACTTAAAAGTATAGGAATTGGCAGCCGATTAGGGTGGCGTCACAATGGCGTCATAATGGCCTCAAGCGGCGTATCTGCGGACCACGGTACATCAAAGGGGCGTCAAAGTGACGTCAGTGGAGTGTTAACCATTTCTCAGCGATGTGGCGGAGCAGCGCTGAGCGTGTGACGTCTGCAGTCGTCAGCCATCAGCCTAACTCAGCGCGCTGACAGAGCGATGTCAGATGGACCCGCGGCCGTCAGTCGGCATCAGAGCGATACAAAACGACGCTAGGACGCCGCACGTCATCGGACAGACTTCCAGGGTGTCCAACCGGACCCAGAGAGAGGGACTCGTGAATAAGCTTCAAACAGAGATCTGTCGTGAGAGCACCAGCAGCGTTTAAAAGTGTGAACGCACACCTCATCCACCCGCGGCCGCTCCGCTTAGTGCCGTGTGCACCACTCGTCCGTCCGTCCCCCACCGCCATGACCACACGCCGCTCCACATTGCCAGGTCCGCCCGCTCCGCTCTCTGACCTTCATTGTAGCAGCGCGGCATCGGGGTGTGACATTTACATAGTGCGAGAATCGCCAGTGCGCTCCGGCGCCGGATGGTGCCCTGAGGGGTCGGACGGGTGGCGTCCCGAGGGGCGGCGATCATGGCGCAGATACGCACAAACGTGCGCGCACCAACGACGTTGATGGAAACGGTAATGTGAAATGAATTTTAAACGGTGTGATTCTGGTTGAACGGGTATGCGGGAAATTGCACAGGTTGAGCTATGCGAGTCTTGCATGGAGGGTGAATATATGCGATGCAGGGTGCGTTGACACGATTATTTGAAAAGGAATCAGAAAGGGAATACCATCACCATACGATTGAAATTTGCAAGATTTTGCAGTAATACTTTCTACACATTTATTTCCACGTGAAAGTGACTCTAATGAACTTCATGTAATTATGTCACTGTCTATTTAATGAGCTGTTCAACAGCTTTTGCAATTCTAATTCACGCAGCCACTTAGCAAAGCAGCCGTCTAGAATGGTGCAGAGGCCTAACTATAGTGGCACCTACCATTCGACTCACTACCTGCGACTCCAGCCGAAAACTACATATACAGATTTATTTCCCATTGAAATAAGAAGGCACGTACCTACAAGGGTTAAAAAATAAATAAAATAAAGTGTATGTTGAAACCATTCATAAAAGAAAAATGACCATAAACATATAAACTCAGAAAAAGCTTAAAAGGGTATGGCTTTTGCGGCGGCTTCAGAATAAATTTGTTGAGCCGCATAACCCGGCAGTTGCTGGGGTATTTCGCCACCCACCGTTTGCTGGGGGGGGGGGGGGCGTTAAACGCCCCCAGCCGATAACTCGAGAACCAATAGGCGCAGCGAAACGCACGAGGCGGCAAACGAAAGAACGCGACGAGACGCTTCAGATGAGTACTTTAAAGTTGAATTTTGAGGTCACAGGTCGGGTCAAGGTCAGGTCAAACACCTGAAATCGGGCTTTCAGTAGCATGGACTTCAGGACTTCGCAATGGGCGCCTCTCGTCATAAACTCCGTCAAAACGGTGCACAATCCATCATATAATGCCTGCAAGAGTGTCAACTCCATATAGGGGTCAGTAAAGCATAGGTCAGGGTCAAGGTCAGGTCAACAGGGTAGGCACATATCCCCGAAAATCAAAACTGATATTCGCAGCCTGTGACACATGTTTTATGGGTAATTTGGAGCGTAGAACACGATGGTGACATTCATTTTATCATATGAGTACGTGTTTGGCTTAAAAAGTTCAATTTAAGAAATGCATGTATCATGGACGTGAAGTAGTCACGAGAAATTGCCAAGATTCAGTTCAAGATTTTGGAAAATGCGGAACGATAATCAATAATCGAAGATAGCCATTTGATTGCTCATGGTATTGGCAGTCTAATGGCGTTTACGGCATGTCTGTATGTCTATTCTGTGATTTTATATGATTTTTTGAACATATGCCATTTTTGGCCGAAAACTCAGAAATTATGACTTTTTTTTTATAAATTTAGTCCGAACCTTTTGATGGGAAGGATTCACAAGGACAGAGCCACCGCTAAGCGAAGCTTGTTGCGATGACCCTGCCCTCTACCCTCCGATCGCGCAATTCCGATTCTATGGCAGAATTTAGAGTCCAAAGTTTAACGTGCGCACAAAGCCGCGCACGGCCGGTCCCCTCGCTGACTTCGCCTGGCTACGGCCTGCCACCAACCGCAACCATACCTGTCAGGAGGCCCATAAATGTCGAGCGCCCGTCGCGCTTCGAACCCGGACTGTCATAACCGGGAACGCGTGCTCTCACCACGCGGAGTCCAACGCTCTAACCAACTGAGCTACGGGACCGGCAATGACGTCACTAAAACCTCGATATCTCAAAAATTTTCCGACCGATTTTTTTGAAACTTTGTCACAATACACTTCAATCAATTCCCTACAGGTACCCAAAATTTGGCGCGCCTGCGGCGCGCCGTTTTTATGCTATGGCCCGGCGAAAAAAGTGGGGGCGTTTAACGCCCCCCCCCCCCCAGCAACTCGCGGGATAATTCTTTGGCATCACATTTGGCCTTTTCCCCGTCGATGGAATGGTTCGCGGCAGCAATATTGCGAAGAAGCCTCGGCGCCTTAAAAAGCTGGGCATCAGGCCAATCGACTTTTACGTCACACAAAGACAATTATGATAAATAAAGTTCATGGCCTCGATGGGGCTATGAGTGCGAAGTAAATCAAAGACGCGTCGGAGCGGAGAGCAATAAAGTAGCCGGTCACTTTGGAGGCCCGTCCTGATAGAAATATTGTCGCGCGATGAATGGGGTGGGTGGGTGCCAGTTGAGATGAGCCGGCACTCATACTGGCCGCAGTTGGCACCGCGGTCGGGGGTGCGTGCCAAGCGCCTCGCCGCCGACGGACGATGCTGAACTGCCTCCGAATCAGGAACGGTGGGAGGGAGAGGTGCATAAGAAGTAGTGGTTCAACAGGGTGCCCTCAGAGAACACCACACTGACCTTACCGCGGCGCTGCTATTTGGGACAATGAGGGAGCTGTTCAGCTAAAGGTTCAGACATTTAATCGCAAGCAAAAATATCACAAGGATGACTTTAAGCGCGGCAGGCGTCTCGCATATCCAGCCGAATGTCTCGTAACCTGCACCTGTTCGCCGATTTCGCGGCACCACAGAGGGACCCACAGTCACCAGACAGACCAGCATACGCCACTTCCAGCCGTACAACATTGCAAATGACAGTTGGGGTAAACAAGCAGGCGAATCTGTCACTCAGCGAACGACGAGCGAGTCTGATATATTATTTTCCAGCTGCCGTCGCAGGCTATCGTCACTTCATGATGTCACTCGCCGCAGAGTTGGTGAACATGCTTACCTGCAGGACGGTGAGGTTGGCCTGCATGGCCAGTTCAGCCTTCTGGTCATCATTCGGATAGGCGTTGTAGCGGTGTTCGAAGAGCCACCCCTTGAGCACCTTGATGGAGTCCTTGGGCAGGTTGCCGCGGCGCCGTTTCGAGTCGCTGCAGTCGTCACTCCCTCCCGGTGACGGCGGTCCTCTGGCGCCGGCTGAAACAAAACAGACGTCATCACTGCCCGCCCGGTCGGCCTGCACGTGACGCCGTAATGACGGCAGCGCTCCCAGCTCCGTCACGTGCTTTGGGGGAGGTGTTGTGGCGCCAGGACGGGGCGGAAACGGTGGTTCGATGTTGCGAGTGAGTTATCAGAGAAAAAGATACATGATGAGATAAATCATAACAATCACTAGCTTTGGTACCTAAATTAAAACTTTGGTAAATTAAGTATGCTCTTTCAAATGAATGAGATTTGGACTGGCGATCTATGGCACAATCCGATAGTGTCCTTCCCTTTCACAGTTACTCGTGCAATCACCTGCAGTCTGGCGGCTCCAAAACCAGCGCTTGTGATGGCTCATTTATTATCCACTCCTCACCGATCCGAATCTCGACGGTATCCCATCCCGTGCGATTGGCGCAGGGTGTTTTTGGACAGGGTCTAGTGTGATTGGTGTAGAGCGTCTTGGATTGGGAGCCAAATATACTTATTCATTCTGTTTACATTTAGCAGATTAGATAGAGCTTTTCACCACAGGTCAGTTATCTGCAATTAGCTTAACGTTCACTGAAACCTGAAACCAGCTTTGGGCGAAACACTTATATATTTTGAAAATAAAAGAACAGGGTTCAAAGCTACAAAAATAGACCGCATACGCAGCGTTAAATAAAATAAACCAATTTCAGGGCAGAAAAGCAACTTAATTAAAAAAAATAACGCAAGATTTATGATCGCGCCTACCGGTATCTATGACTTAACGGCGTCGATAAGCGAAGGCTTTTATGTCTGAACGAGACAACCCATCATCATATTAGCCTTCAGATTCGTCAATATATGAGGGTGGCTTATCGAGACCGATGTCCAAACTATCGCTCACCAGTCTGATGCCGTGCCAAGGAAAATGGAAATCATCGTTCTCGGCAGAGCTATGGAAATCTAAGGAACACAGCGAAGCCAACCATGTGTTCCATGTGAGTTATTCGAGCGGACTTTACGGTATCTTGCACCAGACAACGGTCACATCCAGGTGGAATATATCCTGAACATTACACAATCTGGGACAGAGATGGCTCGTTAGCTAAACAAGTGTTGCTTTTGTTCACTTTCATCTTTAATTAAAGTTTACTTAGCGCCACGTGAGAAGGCTGGAAGTTGGAACAGGTCGGGTCAGCCTAAGGTGGTGGAGACGCTTCGAGGGGAATAAGTGGCGGTAACAGGTCACACACATACGAATATATATGCAATGCACATATGCATACCTACTGCCTCATTCACGCAGATCTACCAGAGTACCGGTGGCCGTCTCAACAGTGCGTGCTGTTACTGCACGTTTCTGGCACGAAAATGTTAGGCCCTCTCGAAAAGCTACCGAACGTTACGCATGAATTACACATTTGATGCTTTATGCTGCCTAGCTTACATTTCAACATAGATTTGCATATATTTAGATAGGTTTAAAATAAGATTATTTCAAGCTCTCATCGTGCCATCAATGGAACTCAATTAGAGTTGCAAAGTTTTCCCCAAAGGCTGCTACCGACACCGCCCCGCCCCGCAAAAATTTTTCTGGGATACCGGCATGCTACCACGCCCCAAGCAAAAAAAAACCGCCAAATTACCGGCATACTAAAAAAAACCTGCATTCTTGATTTGAGCTGGATTTTCAGTGTCAAATTCTTTGTAGAGTTTCTCAGACCACATCTCATGATCTCAAGACTCGAGGCCAGTTTCCAAACAATGTGTTTTTTGGTGTTTTGATTCTGCCTTTTCCCCTAGGGAATGTTGTCATGAACATTTATTTATTTTATTGTGTTATACATAGTTATTACCTACCATTAGACTTACTAATTGATCGTGCTTTTGCAACATGAATGAGTAGGTACCATTCCAATTCTTCCTTTTATAGACCACAGTAAATTCTTGACACTTCTAATTATAACCAAGCCTGTGAAATGCTGAGGTCCATGTGTTACCCCTACCTTTAGCAATGGAACTTCTACCACAAAATGTATCCTGCAGTGGTTGATATTGCTGTTTTATTACAATTTGAGAGCCTTTCAGTGTCCAAAGTTTGAATATTTTGCCGATATTTTTTTTTGCACAAAATCAAAAATACCGGCATGCTACCGGCAAGACATGCCAGATACCACGAAAAAACCTGCGGTAGTGAAAAATTACCGGCATGCCGGTAGTGCGGTAGGGAAATTTTGCAACTCTAAACTCAATCCATACGTTCCATTCAAAGTTCAATGACGACGCAAAAACGACAGTCAGGGAAACTGCTAGACATCGAACCATTCCTGAGGCTAGTGAACGATTTTCCCTCCATGTCTGTTTCTGCGTGGCTTGACCCGATCCAATCGTGTCAAGGTCGATACGGCTACTGGTCTGAGTGGTCAGGGTCGCTAGGGGAAAGATCACCTTGGAACAAGTGGACGGGCGAGGTGGAAGGTGGAAGGTGGAAGGTGGAAGGTGGAAGGTGGAAGGTTGAAGGTGGAAGGCTGAAGGTGGAAGGTGGAAGGTGGAAGGTGGAAGAACAGTGGAACGGGTGGATGACTGCACACATGAGGGGCACGGGATGAATGATATAGCTCGCCGGTAGACAAAACAGCGTGGATACTTTTTGGATAGCCTAACAAATGTGCTCGCGTGTTATATGTCCAATGCCTGCAAGTTATGCGAAACACATCAGTAGGTGCATAAAGGTGCTTGTTCGCTAATGTTTTGAACAATTGTTGCGAAGATAGATAGAAAAGACACAGGGAGCGCACACGAAAAAGCGGTGAGCGAGCGAGCGACCACCTTGATAGCCCATCAGGGTCTAAGTTTGTCGCCGTCATCCAACTATAGAGCTCAGCAGAACTACACCAACACGCCCCCCCCCCCCCACCTCTCACACTTGACAGTGGGTCACGCGTGTCGAGATACCCGACTGAAGACTCCTAGTCAATGAGCGTCATCTTCACTGGACGTCATCGTTGCTGGACGTCATGAACACTTGACAGCGTCACTGGACGTCATCAGCAACGTCACTGGACGTTATCAACGGCGTCACTGTCTTTACTATCCCGTGCGCACATTCATGTAGATATGTCTGATTCAATCCATCATCGTTGATTAATGTGGATGTCCCTGTTGTTTCAGGCCGGGATTCAATTGCTGTAGCTGGCGAAGCAGAAAACTGAACCAACCATGCACTCCCTTTCGTCCAGCTATGCATAGGCAAATAACACAGCCGAGCCACGTGCGAAACACATCAGCATGTGACGTCTTCTGATGACGTCACTGCGCACATTCTGTGCTCCCCACAGCTGGCCACGGTGCAGCAGGTAGCAGATTTTGTCGACATGCTGCCACCGGAAACCTGCCTGGCTTCCGGTTCACGGGCTTTCACCGTGTGACGCGCCGCGTGGCGCCCGGTCTGATCAGCAGGTCACTAAAACGGACGGTTTAATGATCTGAAATAGGTAAAAATTTAATGGGCGAGTCATGGCTGGTGTCTATTGTAAGTCGTTTGGTCTTATTTTTGGGAATAAAATGCTGAGTTAATCATGATGTTCAGCTGAGTAATATACATGTCGATAAAATCAAGCACCAGTTAAATATTACTTCTTCAAGAGAAGGAGCACTTAGAAAAAAAAAAAAAACTAAAATAAATGCATACTTATTTCAATATGCTCATGCCTTAGCTTTGATCAAAAACAGTCGGGGTCAGGAAAATGAATTTGCACAATTTTTGTTGTTGGGTCACCCCTTAGCCAAATATGACCCGACCATTTCAGGGCCACGCATGAAAATGGGAATTACGGGAAATATTGGTCTGCCTGGGGCACTTTTAGACACTGAAAGCACATAGGGAACGCTGTCATCGGTCCACGCTTAGTAGCCGGGCCGACCACATGTGTCCCATCTCCCTCGCTGACGCCTCCCGCTGATCCCGGGCCGCCTCCCGGCGCGCGCTAAACGTTTACAACCAAAACACCGGCGCCCGCTCCGGGAGACACGCTGCCAGTGCTACCGGTCGGCGGCGACACGTGCTGTTTTTGCCAGGTGTCCTCTGACGGCTAGGGTTCGACGGAGAGCCGGCGACCAACAACACTGAGGCAGCGGGAGACGACAGGCGAACGGTTCTCCCGGCTGCTGTTCTTGGCCGGGAGCGAGTGGACGGTACCCGCTCGAGGTTTTTTCTTCCTATAGCGATGAGGAAAGGTAGCTGAGTGGCGTCAGCTTCTCCAGCTGGTCGTCAATCAGATTCAGTCTGTACCGGCTCCCGCACTCTAATCAATCCCACATCACCAATGCCTACGCCAGAAGCTCGCAAAGCAAAGAGCTCAAACCGGTTTTACCCATTGCAAATATGTAACGCCAGATATAAAACCGCTGCAAATGACAATGGCTGCGCTGCACGTTCAAGGTAAAACTGGTGGAAGATTTTCAGCAAGATAATGCTTTTTCAAGGTGCGCTGGTGCGCCTGTGCGTTGGGCATAATGTGCGTGCCGGTGCAGCCGGCGCTGTCCTGTTCGGAGTTATGAGCCTGTGCTTGGTCCTCAGAGGACTGGTGCAAGCACGGCGACCCGACGACGGCGAGGATTCTCTCCAACTGGCCGCAGTGGGAGCTCTCGGGAAGTTCCGTGAATAGCCAGATTTACGTATATAAGGTTGCCTTTGATTTCTTGCTTTTACTTAGAATAGTTGATGCTCTCGTATTTCTGGCTTATAATTTGGTTCAGGGCCAGGCCTACCCACGGGATCACAATTTACATGCACTTCAATCATTTAATTTCTTGACTTCGGTCATTTCCGTGTCTTTATTTATTCTACTTGCCATATCATTTGTGTTCACTTCTGGGCTCTTCGATCTTTTCTACACTTTTTTCTTTAATCTCTCTCCTCGGATCTTCTCTGTTTCTCACTCTTTCTTTCTTTCTTTCTTTCTTTTTCCCACTCTCCCTCTCTCCCTCCTTCATTTTTTCTCACTCGTCTCTCTCATGTTCTGTTCATTTCTTGATTCTTCTCTCTTCCTTATCTCTCTCCACCACTGCCCCCTCCATTTCTCTCACTTCCCTCTCGCGCGCGCGTCGCGTCTCCGTCCGAACGCAGCAGGTTGGAGTCGGACCAAAAGTCGTCCGCTGTTTTATTTTGGTCCGCGGAATGCGTCGGCCGTGCACTGTGTGAAGAGCGGCGAGGCCGCAGGGGCTCCGGAGACACGGAGACAGAGACGGAGAGCTCCGGAGACACGGAGACAGAGACGGAGAGCTCCGGAGACACGGCGGAGACGGAGACGAACCGAGCCGGCCCCGCCAGACGACAGCACTCTCCAATATCCTCCGATACACAGCCAGGGAGGGGATCCATCTGAATCACGTCATCGCAAACGCAAGAACACTCGGATAGTTTGGCGTGTGCCGTGCACAAACAGAGGGAAGACACACGGTTTGTGTGGCTGGTCGCTGCCAGCGTTTGGGTACTTTAGCAACAAGTGCGGTTAATTGAAAGCTGGAGTAACGGATTGCGGCGCGTGCTGGTGTCACTTGTCAGAGTAATTTGTGTTTGGTGTTACAATACACCTGGATGGGTGCATGTTCAGACGAAAGCGTAAGTTATCCTGCTCAAACAAATGTCACTCTGAGTGTTGGCAATTGGCATTTGTAAACATGTGTTCTGCTATCAGACAGCTGGTGTCTACCGTTTACTACATCGAACCATTCATAGTGAACACCAGGACTACACACCAGTGTAATTAATGTGTAGCCTCGGTTATCGTTCAAAGTAAACTATATGTAATTTGGGTAGCCAGGCTGTCGCAGTACCTACTAAAATGATGTTCAGCTCTTACAATTGACAGGTAACTCAGATAAGGATACGTATACCGTGCGCACCTGTTAAAAAGGATAAGACCTAATTTATATCTTGATTGGTAGGTAAAGGTAGGTAGGTAATTAGGTAGTAGGCATTGGTGGGTCGGTAATTACATAATTATGATAGATAGGTAACATGAAGGTAACAAAATTTCAAAATAATGGCTGATTGCATTAAAAGCGTATTGAAAAAAATAGTCAAGTGCTTCCTATCGTTTTTCATATTCATCGTTAACTGGCCATTTTATCAAATTCGTAACGACGGCGTCAATGAGTCGATTAGCGTAACAGGAAGTGCGCTAACAGATTAGATTAGTACCAGTAAAACGCATTTTGGGCGAAGAACGAGCGAGCGAGATAGTGAGCCCTGCACGTGCGGAAGGGCGAGAGGGTACTTCCAACGGGCTTGTGCAAAGCACCCTTCTAACCGGTTGCTAGCGGTGTGCCAAATTTGAACGCAACCGGCCCAGCCGTTCCTGAGATCTGGAAGCGGCATTCTGCACGTGCGCACGTGCAAACGGGGTCCAAACTGACTTTTGCACGGCACCCTACTAACTGGTCCCCAACCGTGTACCAAATTTGAGCGCAATCGGCCCAGCCGTTCTCGAGATCTGGGAGCGCCCCCTGCACGTGCGCACGTGCAGTAGCACCCTAACCGCAACACATAGGAATGCATTGCCTGGTGGGTGCCTCTACCTGCATGCCAAGTTTCAGCGAAATCGCCCCAGTAATTACCGAGTTATTGAAATGGGAACAAATTTGACACCTCTTATTGTTGTATTTTGCACGTGCACTGGGGGTGACCCACATGCATCGAGAGTATCCTATTTTTGGTAGAAGGGATGCAGCTACCCTACAAAAATTACCGCAAGACAATCGCCCGAGCGGCTGCTGAGATATGAGCCTCTCAAAATCACTACTTTTGCAAAACAGCTTGAACACCCTTGACTTTTCACGTGGCACGTGCCACGACGGTCACTGAGATGTATCAAAAGTAGTCAATTACGGGGTAGAAGGGATGGGGCTACCCAACAAAAAAGACCGCAGGCCAATCGGTCCAGCGGTTTCTGAGATATAAGCTTCTCAAAAGCGTTACAGGCCAGGCCGGGCCGGGTCGGGCCGCTCATACTGAGGTTTTTCCGTTATATTGAAAAGACTTCGCATCGCTCGCTGCGCTCGCTCGCTCGTAACAACCTTGTAAAAGATTCGTAGACAACCAAAACACTTCAAAGCTATGGGCAGATGAATTTAAAAGAAATAATGGCACGGCTCAAGTGGAACATAAAATAAAAAGTATCATGCAGAAGCGATCAAAGGACTGGAGAATGTAAGAAAATGTCAGAAAATGTAAGCATAAGTATTTGTAAGAAAATGTGAGAAAAGTATTTGGGCAATAAAACGGCAAATGAATATGAAGGTAGTGAATGAGCGATACGAACAGTGCTTGGCTGCACTCCATAGATCGTAAGGACGGCACAGGCCAGATACAGACGGTGCGTGAAAGAAAATACACTTTCACCCACACTTGACACTGTCATCTCCCTTCCAACAATAACTACACCCAAAATAAGTAAGTTCTCAATAGCATCCGTGCCTAATGCCCAATACAAATAAGGTTATAAAGATGTTGATGCTGAAGCTTGCGGTCAGTCATTAAAAAATAGATGCAGCAAATTTGTGAAAATTTACCGCGGGGATTTACATTCCTGAGCCAAAAACACCCAAACTTGGCTCGTTTTATGCTATCAGTTTCATCTCAGTTTGTCTTATAATAAATATCAATCAATTATTGCAAAAAGAAAAAGAAACCAGGTTACAGAAATATGAGAGATGAAAGCACGTGCCTGAGCCTCCCACTGACCCCGAATGACCCCAAGCAGCTTCATGGAAGCCGCTCGGGTCGTGCCGGCGGGCTCCCACAGGACCACAACCCGCAGCTGGGTACACTCGTAGCGCTACTCGTTAGCGCTGCCTGAGTAGCCATAACGACCCGCGGCGTGGCCCGGGTCCAGCGGGAGCCTGTGTGGGGCAGCCTCACTGTCTGAGGGGGAAGGGGTACGACACACTGTCACACACGCGCCTCCTGTCATATCCGGGCCGTTCCAGGCGCGTCGCGGACTGCCACTGACAGCAGCGATCTGTCACCGAGCTGTCAGACGGCTGCTGCGTCGCGTCGCGTCAGTCACGCTTACCTTTGCGTCCCTTCATGACGCGGCGTCCCGGTCGGCGGCTGGCGCGCGGCTGAAGCTCGGGGAGCTGGGGCAGCTCCGGTAGGAGGGCGGGCTCGGAGCTCGGACGCGGACGGGACGGCCACAGCCGCGGGCGGCCGCTCACGCACACTGATGGAGCGCGGCCGGCGGCACCCAGCGCCCCCAGGTGGACTGGCGCAGCACGTGGCGGCTCCGGGCGGCTCTGGGCGGCAGGCTGCCAGCGGGCGGCACGGGCGGACCCGCCCCCCACCGCCGCCGCCGCCGCCGGGCAGTACCCGCTCCCCGTCCTCCGGCCGGCCGCCGCCCGCAGCCCGCCGCCAGAGCCGGCCGGCCCCTGCGCGTGAAAGGAGACGTGGGCTCGCCGTGCACCGACCGGCTATGCACGGGCCGGCTGTGCACGGCAGCTGTGCAGAACGGCATGCACGGTGCTCGGCCCGCTCGGCACACGCGACCTTGGCACTATGCGTGACGCGCACAGCTAACGGGTCACGTGCGTAGGGACAGCGGCGGACGACAGGTAATCCTTGGAACTGCGAAATCGAGCCGGCCGGGCTGTCCGCGCGCTGCGCACTGTCCTCAGTCGTCTGTCGCCAAACCGGTAACCGCGGCCGATTCAGGGAATGGCAGGGGTATGTGACATACCTACAGAAGCGTGTATCGGTATGGGCGAGAGGACGGCAACGGGCAAGCCATGGAAGAATTTCGTCCCCAACTGCTTGTCACGGTCAATGTCACCAATGAATTGGTCTACTGCTCTATGTTAATGCCCATATTTTTAACGATATAAAAATAACGCTAAACTCATGTTTAAAAAAAAAAGAACTGACAAAAAGTTGGCAAACTCGATGTGCATGAGGCCGTCCTGAACCATTTTCGGACCAGAATAGAAGCCACGGGACCAGCAGAGCGCGCACCACACAGTGCACAGAACCACAGAGGGCAGCAGGACGTCAGGTCCCACTGCGGTACATTCAAACGGCAGTTCTATTGAGCCTAGCATTGCAGAATACTGAATAGTACAAGTAGGTAAACGCAGGAGAGCGGGGGTGGCAGCCGCGGCGGGGGCGGCGGGCGGCGGGAGCGGCAGCGGGGGCGGCGGGTGGCGGCGGGGGCGGCAGCGGGCGGCTCTCAGCAGATGTCATTCTCCATACGGCTAGCGTCACGAGCACGACACAAAATCGATGCTGCTGAGCGCTGAGTCGATATATGTCAGGGGGCACGCCGGTCGGGTCGGGTAAAGTTCGACGCTCCCTCGGGCGGCTGACAGCTCGAGCGGTGCTGCACGTGAACTGAACGCCCGTTTTACGCTGAGCTAGTCAAACAAAGAGAATTTAAATCATGCTGAACGTCAAAAAATGATGTTCACAATGCTCTTCATGCGCTGTTTAGTAAAAAAAAGGAGTTGATATTAATCGACCACCTGACTTTTATTGAGGCTTGAATCGTGTTTACCTTTACATTCTTTTTCACATAAATAGGCATAAGTAGTAGGTAAGCATGCTTAAACTTTACTTAACTTTACTTACTTACAGTCTACAGAGGTCAAATAAAGTTAAGGTGACCGATTTTGTCAGGTGTCGACTGTCGTGTTACCTGTCCGCATCATACGGGAAAATTTGATCTCAGGTATATCTCTCAGCCTAGACCGAAGTCTATAAAGGACTTATATCTGCATAGCTAAACTAGCTCTCTGACTTTTTCTATGACAAGCTTTGATGTTGATTGACAACAAAAACCCTCACCTTGCCATCTTTTCATTTTATTAGCCATAAGCGTCGAATGCTAAATAAATGTACGTACGTTCCTGAAAACGTTTTTGCATTTGACATTTTTGCATTTTTGCATGATTTGCATTTGACCTCGAATCAGGTTCACGACCTAACCCAGGTGGGTTGCGTTGAGTGTCTGCTCTCTGTCGATCCGAGCGCACGGGTATCAGCTACGGAAATGTACCTATATTGCAATGATCAAAAGTTATTGGTCAAAAACGGATGGCGACCTCGGTTGACCTCATGACCTAAATTGCCACTTGAAAGGGGTGTCGAAGAGCGTTTTACAGCTGAATATTACAGCTATTGCAGGTACAGCTGAGAGCTGAATGCCTAAAGAAAATGGTTAGGTTCACTTAATTTTTTTACGAACGATGGGCATTGATGAATTTATGAAAATACATGACCGGGATTTCTACCTCAAAACATAATAACTACCTACGTGCATCACATTGCATGCGCATTGCACTTGTTGCATACCTAGACTACACAAGCCTAAATCAAAGGCACATACAATTCCTCGTATTCGGACTACATCTGCTCCATAGTCGCGCTGCCCGTAGGACGACCGTGGACAGAGTCGACTGAGGCCGATTTTCGGTCGAATCCCGTGTGTGTGTATTTTTGTCCGCTCGTTGGCCGATGCCTCGATGTCCCCGTGAGGAGCCCTGCACCCCCCCCCCTCGCCCCCCCTCCCTTGGCCGATTACACCGCCGCTGCCCTGAATAGTTTTCGTGCTTCGACTATCCATCTGCATTCATGGCACGAGACCAAATTGCGGAGCCAGCCAACCGAACCGAGCCGAGCGGACCGGAGCGACGGCGCCGGGTGGTGCTGACATCTAGTGGGCAAGATCGAAACTACAAGTTGCCTAATTCGCCTAACGAGGATTCCGCTAGGTACTGCTCTATTGCTAGAGTTTATATCTATGGCTAGAGGCGTACTTCCTCAAAGCGACTGCTATCTATTCCTCGGGGTTCCTCGTGGTTCATCAGCTGCCTTCTCTAGTGTCATCCACATGCTTATCAGGTAGGTGCTTCCATGCCTTCTTACATCCCTCTGAAGTCTACCTACAGAATGAGACAGAATCGAACAATACCGACGTGTGCTCGTCCTAGCGCGAGTTAATTATCCATTTAGCACCAAAAAAGTCAAATATTCTCCCTATTCACAGTATATTCACAATATCCAAAGTTCACACTACACAGTATTCAGATTCCAACGAGCAATGATCTCGTGAAAGGCTCACATTTAGTATGCATCAATGTTGGGTGGCTTGGCGTATCTCTCCTTGAGCTCCCCTGCCTTGTACTGCCGGGCCCTTTCCTTCTGCATCGCGTCCACGCGTGCAAACTGTCGGTGGGAATCAAAAGCTCTGGTTAGAAAACTGGCCACAACGGCGTCCCTAGCGCACCAAACTGAGGTGCTGCGAGGCACGTTGCAAAACAGTAGAAGACACCTCAAAAAGGATTGTTCATGAAACCAAAAATATTTAGAAATGTTGAAGAAATCAACCATCTAAATTGCAGTGAGACCATATCGAAAACCTCAACGTGTATGAGCCTTCAATTAGAAAAGCTCGATGTGTGCGTCGGTTGCACATAGCAACCACCCGTCCTCTGTGCACAATATGCGCTAACCATACAACAAATTAAAAACTGCCGTGCATACACCCTAGCCTCAAACTAAACAATTCACACTAATCCAAATGTTAACACTTGCAGTCATGATCTAAGATAACCTTACCAACTACCACACCATTAACGCATGAAAGTCGCAGATTCCTATCTTTGTTTTCCGGCGAAAGTATGAGTTTCGAGCCTCGCCGGGTTCGAGAAAGGAGACTCCTGGCCACATTTCAACATGTAACAGAGCAAAAAGGAGAATATCCAAATTCTTCTGAGCCATTAAGGTGACTTACTGGTCCCACCACCACAAATCAAACAAATTTAACTATAACCAGCCCCATGGATGACGTCTCCTATCAGTCCTACCCCTCCCCTCCCTGTCCCACCCAGCCCCTCATCACCTGTTTGGTCATCAGCTGGCACTCCATGAGGTCATTGAAGTAGTTGCGGCAATCCTTGACACCACGGTGCGGTCCGTAGGCCTCCATGCAGTCGCCGAAGCGGCCCTCGAACTCGTGGCACTTGTTGCCGGACGCGTGCGTCATCACGCAGCCGAAGATGTCGGTGAAGGGGTTGCGGAACAACGGCGCCCACGCCTTTAGCTCCACCCTGAGGGCAGGAGGGAGGGGATATCAGCTGGTGTGGCGTGGAGATTGCGTGATCGCTGCAGACAGGAGGAGGATGTGAGCTGGTGTCGCATGGTCATAAGCTCAATTGCATTACACAACATGTGAATTGAGCACACTTGACATTACCTATCTATGACTTGTCGATTCCTTAAGAGTACATACCATGTACTGTAATAGCACACTGCTAATCAGGAAAATAAAGAGTCTGTCATAAGGAGAGAGCAAAGCATGGAAACACGTCAGGAAAAGATCATCAGAGGATGGACAAGCTGTTAAGATTAATGAATAACAGGCATCTAATTTCAAAGAAATTTCTGTTGAGCTTATGACTGGTTAAGAAAAAATACATTGCCTGTTCAGGAATCTAGGTTCATCAAGCAAAGGGCATGGTCCTCATCAAATCCAAATAGATCAATCAACAGAGACATGAATGAACATAGGTAAATTAAACCTGAGTAGCACTAAGGAGTCATACAATTATAGCAAAACAGATACACAAAATGCTTCACAGTTGAAAGATGGCAATGTAGAATATCTTGTTTGCCCCTTAATATCTACAAATGTCTAATATGTTTATCTACTGATCTGATACATGTATTTCTTTAAACATACAACATATAGATGCTATTGCTTTTCAGCTGAAGTGATGGAGAAAACTAAAAATGAGATAAATGCAAGCTGCCATGGTTAGGGTAAGGATATGATAAAGCCTACATGAGTAGCTATAGATGTTTGTAAAGAACTGTAAATGCTGATACTGGCTACTGCCCAATAGATGCTCATCACATCTGAAAGTGAAATCTGGCATTAGAATATCACTGGGAACTTGGAAATTCAGGTGTGCTTGGAATGAGGCACAGATCATGGCTAAGACTTTTCTGCCCTTTTTGGTAGGATAATCAGATAGACTTCCCCCATTATTTGAAGGGGTGATAAGTGGCACAGTCCAATGATGATCATCATCAATGATGATCATTGATCAATGATGATCAGACTGTGAATAATTTATATATTTTATCATGATGTCTCATTTTGTGCCAGACTTTCTGAAATGTTAGTTTGCACCAAACTTTCATTGATCTCCATGTGCTGAAATTTCACTGATGTTGATGGTTATCTGGATTTTTCCCCAGTCTGGGGCTGATGCAGACTTCCTGCCTGGTTGATTTGGGCTGGTGCAGACTTATCCCTGGCTGGCACAGCTTGTCACATTTTGATCTTCTGCAATTCTTTACAGT